GTAGCTCAGCACTTCAAAAGAGGCTGAAGGAGCTTGAGGTCCTTTGAATCCCGGCTGCCAGTGGGCTGCTTGTACTCGCGCTGCCCAGCGAGGGGAGCCAAACTCTTCTCTTTGCTCGTGTCTTCAGCGGGCAGACTCTGACTTTTTGTGTCCAGCTATGAATTACCTCTGGGTCGGGGTGCTCTGACGTCACTCTGTCCCAGCTTGGCCTCGCCGCTGAGGCTGTGCTGGGGATGGGAAAGAGAGCAAGAGAGGGAGCAGCTGCATTGCTGCTGTGCTCTGGCTGGCCTCCGGGAGTGGGTGGTATACATTACAGCAACCTCTAGCTTGCTTTAGGTTCCTCTGTGGACCAGGCTGAAGAAAAATAAGGCAGAGAAGGGGCGCCATAACCCGAATCCTGCCTGAAAGAAGCATCTGCTGAAGGAGCTGATTGTGGTTGCCTTCCTTCTGTTCCTACTAAACTGAGTTCACAGCTTCCCCTTCCCGCGGAGAGCACTGCTGCTGGCATTGTTCAAGATACAGATGCTACTGGGCAAGTGCGGCACTAAACCCTGCAGACTTTTAAGTATGTGCCAGAGTTCATGAAAGGTCCAGGTTGTGCTGACACCAATGGTGCTTATCAGACAGGTGATAAGCCTGTCTTGTTGCCTCTGTCCTGACCACATCTGGCCCCAGAGCTGTAGCTTCTTGCGTCACAGCCCCCAAGGTCCTTCACCACTGCTGAGCCAGCACGGAGTAGCAAAATCAGCCACAGTCCTGCGTGCTGTGGTTGTGACTTCCTCACCCAAGTAGCAAATGGGGGGGTTTTTTTTGTTTGTCCATGGACTGTTCCTGGTGAAGACAAAAGGAGCAGAAAGAACCTAGATAGGGGTTTTTTTTTTTAAGCTCAGTGTATCCCTCAGTCCCAGTACTCAGTGCACTTACTACTTTAATTATTGTTACAACTGACTGCATCCAAAAAAACCCTAAGTTATTGAGCGAGAAAGAGAGCTAGCGCTCAGTACAAAAGAGGCACCAGCACCACAGAAGGTCTGGGGGTTATAAATGGACCACAAATTGAAGATAGCCCAAACAATGCACTGCTGTTCTCAAAAGCTCAGACCTCTTCCAGGGGTGTACAATGGGAGTGGCAGTGCAGTAATTATTCCAGTCTGATGGTAGTTCTGGCGTGATCAGAGTCCTGGTCCTCCACGCCTGTTAGAGAGGACAAGAACATAGCAACCCCTCCGCTGTCAAGGAGAAGCACATGGATGCATTAAGTCATGTCTCTAAAGGTTGTGCTGGCTGTGTATTAACCCTGTTTAACTGCGCCTAGTAACAAAACATTTACTGAATGCATGTATGACTGGTCACCCGAGAAGCGGGCCAAGTCAGGGTAGTCCGATTACTATCATAGAAAAGACAGGAGAGAGAGAGATCACTATACAACAGATGGGAAGACACAAAAATAAGGGAGAAAACAAGCTTCCATTGCAGCACGGACAATACGGACAAACTTCTGACCTACTGGTGCAGCAGTGAAAAGGATGGGAGGACGTGCCATGAACCACCTCTGCTGCTCCTTCCCTTCTGAGTTGGAGGGAATATTTATTAAGACCCACCCCCTGGCGAGCCCTGAGATGAGACAGAGCTGAAGGTCTTTATAGTAAGTTCCCAAAAGCTGATGCTTAATTTGGTACCTCTCAGCCCCCTGTGGCCTAGCACTCCCACTCCTCACCCCATCCACAAAAAATAAGTATCAAAAAGTGACTCATGTAGAAATGAGGTGCCTAAATCCAAGAGTGCAATTGCGTTGTACTGAGAAGCAGGCTAATTAGCCCAACTGGAGTCCCCCCTCTGTTGCAGCTCGCTAGCTAGTCCCCAGGCTAGCTCAAGTCCACTAAGCCGTAGTCACTGTGCACACCATATAGATAGTTCAAGCAAATAATGCCAGGAGTTAGTGCAGGCCCACAAAGAAAGGAACCTACCTGCTGTCCTGAGCAAGGATCCTAAATGCTCAACCCTCACTAGCAGTTAAAGTGTAGAGTCCAGCCCAGGGGTGGGCAAAATGTGGCCCACCAGGCCATTCTATCTGGCCCATGGGGCTCCTAAAAAATTTAGAAAATTAATATTTATCTGCCCCTGACTGCCTATCATGCAGCTCTCAATGGCTTGCCAAAACTCAGTAAGCAGCCCTCCGCCCAAAATAATTGCCTGCCCTTGGTCTAGCCACTAGGGAAGCAGCTGTGGATTCAAAGGTTAGATGGCTTGCAATGGCAGGGGGTTTAGGAATACTTTCACATTGTTATTTACAGAAGAACAGTTAATTGTGTGCTTTAACACAAGGAAAAGGAGCTGCGGATGTGTGACGGAGCCATCAGGACGTGCAAAGGGACCTTTCATAGACTGTGCACAGGCTATAGGAGTCCAGGCTGGTCTCTGACACGCTAAAGAAAGATGCAGCTGAGAGAAGAAAAATTTAGAAGTTTATTAAACATTAAGAATAACAGACAAAGATTTGGGCTGAACAGCATACAGGATGCAATCCATTTCATGTCATACATTTAAATTGATCTTATATGTTAAACTTGTATTTAAACAGCTGCTGTCTTGTGGTGTTGCCAGAAATACAATGGTTGATCACTTTTATTTATTTTTTAAATATATTTATTTCAAATAAAAAAAAAACAATAAAAATAAACTGCACCTCTTGGTTTTTTTTTTAATTATAATATATATATATATATATTTATAAAGCACACACAAAAAGCAATTCTGGGTGACAGAGGCCAACAAACCCACAGAAGCAAGTTAATTCAGAAATGAAGGCTCTTCTTTCAGTACCTAGCTCATCCAGTTTTTGTAGCGATATCACAGGAGCCTCGGCAGAGCTCGTGTGACATTAGGTAGTGTATTTGTGCTACAGTAGGGAGGCACAGGAGAATGAGTTAAGCATCAGTCCCAGCTTGGTTCCCTTAGCTCTGAATTTCTTGCTTTCGAGGATTAAAGTCAGAACTTTCATTCTGCGATGCTGGCTCTTGAGTGCTAAAAACCCCAGCTCCCAGGGTGATGAGAACTACTAACAGGTCTGAAATTAGTTTCTTTTATTTGAAAAGTGGCATTTAAAAAAAACAACACTAAAACAAACCAAAAAAGCAACCAAACATACACCCCCCCACTCCAAATATTTACTATTCAGATCCAGCAAGAAACAAGCATTTTAAGTTCATTTTTATTATTTAATAGATTGCAAAGGGGCTCTTTTTGGAGCTGTTGTTATAATTAGCATGACTTATTTCGATGTTTTTAAGCAACCTTATACTCTGACAGACCTATGCGCACCTGTGGAGCAAGGAGACCCGCCCCATCCGAATCCTGATCATCCTAAATACAGTGCCTTTCTAAGCTGAATACAAGCCAATTTAAAAAAAAAATTATATTTTGGAAATATAACCTAGGAGAAAAAAAAATGTATTACAAGTTTTATCCCAACTGTTTGCATGCACTGGGATGATTTAGTTAGGGAGGATCCTACCCGGAGCAGGGGGTTGGCCTAAGTGATATCTAGATGACCTCCTGAGAACCTCCCAACCCTTCTGTCTAGGATTGTGGATTTTAAGGCTGGGATTTTCAAATGAGACAATACCCAAATCCCCCTAAAAGGGATGGATGTCTAACTCCCTTAGGCTCCTTTGATGGCCGTAGCTTAAATGACCGAGTTATAAACATCTGAGAAGTGTAGATGGCAACAGCGGCTTTAATGGAAATGTTGACGTAACGTTAGTGCTAGCTGCACTTCAGGGTGTAGCTCTAGTATTAGCTTATGGACTGACCAGCCCTTCCTGCTTTATTCTGAGTCTCTCCAAGTCAAACACTGTTTTCACGTTGTTGTGCAGGTCCCATTTGGCTAACCTTCCTTCTATGACAGCAGCATGGATGACTTTGAGATATAAGGCACCTGAACAGACTCAGAAACATTGGTGGTGTTGGACGAGGTAGCTGCTAGGAACCTCTGGCCCACAACATAAAGGCTATCATGCTCATCCTCCCACCCCTGGGCCCCAATAGATTCAGCTGTGATAGCCAGACAATCGCTCTCCCCAAACCTCCCCACAATAAAGACCAAGGGATCATCTATACTTTTTGCAGCTATACTTTTGCGTTTTGACAAACGGATTGACAATCCACCCGGGCTTCCTAGCTACTGATGTACCAGCTGATGATCATCAAGGCAACCTCTGCAGTTGAAATGGCCCCAACAATAAATCACCCTTGCACTACGCTACTTTGCTGCTGAGAGTGCGTCCCTGTTGTTGGATGATGTGTTGCACCCTGCCGCTCCCGAAGAACATTTTTAGAAACATCCATTTGTTTCACAGTCAGTAGATCAATTGACTTGTATCAAACACTTACAGTCCAAATAGTTCACTCATCTCATCTAGTTTATACTGGCCTCTGAGAAGTAATTCACTTTCCTCATTCTGAACTTTGTTCCAGCACATGAATATTCAATCCGCTGAAATAATCGGGCCACCGGAAAGAAAGGGACCCTGTGTTAAAGGACTGTAAAGATTTGGGGTACATGCTTGAGGAAGAAAACTGCAAAATTGCCATTGGTGAACAGATATGTTTAATGTCGAACAAAACGTTGAGTCCTTTGTAACAATCTCCTGAAGCAGTAATATGAATTAATGGAATGAATAACCTTTTCACATGGAAAAAAGGTCAAAAACTCTAGAAAACTGAGCGCCAGAAATGTAGCACCATATTTTTCCCACATGTAAATACATGTTTGCAGTACATAGAGCCAAGTCTATGAACAAGGCTATTTATAAAGGTTTTCAGATGGCAACCAATTCTAGCAGCAGCAGATTTTAAATGAGCGTGAGAGTAATTTTATTTTTCTGCCTTTACAAAATATTGCATTGTCCAATATCTGTTTGATTGAACTTCATGTTGTGCTTTGTCAGTGTTAGAGAACGTTTATATGTTTCTAATAGAAAATAATAAAGCCTCTTATGTTTTAGTAATATGAAGCACCCTGGCAAGCCATATTACTTTCATAAAAATTTAATTTAAAGCGCAAAACATGCTGATGTGTCAGTGGCAGGCTTAAAATATTAAAGTTAAAAAAAAAAATGGAAAAAAAAACCAACTAAAGCATTTCCTCTCTGTACAATACTGGTGAATATATATCTTTGCTATATATTTTTTAAACATGGAATAGCTTTTTTCTTTTCTCTTTGCTATATATAATATATGTCTTTCAAAATACATTGTCAGTATTTGTACTTGAAAAATACTGTACAAAAACATACTATAATTATTCTGTATAAACTTTATACATTTTATAATATCTATTCTTTTGGTCTATAGTAAACATTTAAATTGATTGGATTAACCACAGTATATGACAACACCATCCCCTTCTGAAATACACCAGTGTCTCTTACATTCATTTTCAAAAGTCCACTTTGTAATAAAACGTATTTTCAAAAGCAAACAGAGAGCTAGAACAACAGAATAAAGTTCAGAACCATCAGTTCATGACACATTCAAAATGACAATCACTAGGAAAGTTGGGTTTGCAAAATAGTCTCTTCTAATTGAATAAAAGGTATTTTAAAACAGTGAGCGAGAATCCACAGAAAATATTGCAAAAAAATGGGGAAACCCCACCCCCAAACAAACCCTGTATTTAAGTCTTTAATCACAAAATGGAACTCTGAGAAGTTCAAAATTACCTGAAACTAAAAAATGCCAAGGTCAAATCTGATTTGATACTTTTTAATTTTGTTCTTGTTTCAACTAATTGTCCTCTCTCCATCTCTCTTTCCCCCATAACCCTTTTTCAGGGATACTTCTAGCATGCTCTTATCAATGGGTCTCTTTTTAATTTTCTTTTTTGTTTTAATTTAAAAGACATCTAAAAACTCTTATTAGGTAGGGAAATCATCCTACGTCCACTAGGAACACCCAGGCAGCATGCGCTAGCGTACAATAGGATTATTGCTTTAGGTACAGGTAGTGCAAAATACACACTCTGTGGTCTATTAATTATATTCCTATCTATCTGGGGATTGTGGAAATTAAAGGAAACTTAACAGATATCAGTAAGTCTTTACTGGAGCGATAGTAGGTATAACTAACTCAGTCTAACAGCACTTTAAATCTGAAGACAATTATCACCAAAACTTAAAATACAACAAAAGCAATCTATAAATTAATATTTCTGCAGTGTAGTTGTAAAATTATGTTTTTGTGCACTTTAGTAGCCTGTTAACTTTTCTGATTAGACATGTTTAAACAATAGCTTGTTACTCTTGAAAACTGAGATCTATTTTTTTTTGTCCTTTTTTTTTTTTTTTTTTTTTATTTATACTGGGATCTTTCCAAGTAAATCAGGAGGATGGAACTGGTTATAATAACATAAAGTTCCTAATCTGAAGCAGCACTGGGGGGGAAAAAAAAAGGAAAAAGAAAATAGAGTAAAAAGCTTACTATGGCAGTTCTCAACAGTCCAGGTAAAAATGTGGCACCCTTTGAAAAGGGCTTCATAGAAATGGGAAGTGCTGAGATACGCACACACTCTTGTGCACGCACACATCGACACGTGCGTGCGCACATGCAGACACGCGCGCGCGCGCATGCAAACGAAAAATAATGTACGTCAGTTTTGTTTCTGCTTCTGGTAAAGTGCTGATGACAGAAAGGGTGGCTTGGGCGTGGTGCTATCAAACAGGAAACACATTGTCCATCTAGGCAAATGCCAACCCACAACAAAAAAAGGAGGAGGTGAAAAAAAAATATAGCAACCCGGCGTTTACAGGGGGCCGTGCCGAGCCTCGTACTTCGCCAGCGCGTTCTTGCATTTGCCCAGCTCTTTCCGTAGGTCGGCCACCTCTTGGCGGAGGGCGGAGTTCTCCTTCTCCAGGAACGAGGCGCGGATGGCAATCTGGTTTTCCTTCAGCCGCCGGGCATCTCTCGACCGCTTGGCAGCCATGTTGTTCTTTCTACGCCTTGCCCAGTATTTGTCATCCTGCTCATTAAGCACAAAGAGAAAGAAATGGAGATATTAGATTTCAGCAAACCAAGAACGACCCAAAGCGCTGAGCTGTTTCTCACAGTCACGTTTCAGTCCGTGCAGATGACTTGGTCGCGGGTATTTCGCTGACCGCTGTTGCACTGCCCCCTGCATACCGACGGTGCCAGTCCTCGGGGTGGCATCTACATCTATATACCGTAGCCCCTCCCGTGGGCACGCAGGAAGACCTCTCCATTAGGCCTTTATAATAAAGCTCACTGTTGTCTTGGCTCCCTAAAGAAAAACGAATGGGCACCTGGAGCATATCTAGCAATAACACACCTTATTCTTCTTCAGGTTACTCCCACGCCAAGCATCTGTGGTAGGAGCTGAGCTCGGGGAGGGGGCTGGTAGCTGCCAATCAGGGGAACAGGAGCCCTCAGCTTTTTCCTGAGGTCAGTGTGAATTTTGCCACTGATTTCAGTGGATTTAAAACCTCATGCAATGAGAGCACCATCACCAGTGCCATTGACTCAGGTCTTGGAAGTGCAAATCTAGAACGCCCCCAAACAGCTCTGGCTTTGGCCAATGCTCGTCTGCTCCAGTTTCCTCGCCTCTCTCTCATTCCACCTATCCTCACCTTTCTTCTCTCACCACCCTTGTTCTAGCTCCCCTCGATCTTCAAACCTTCCCCTTCTCTCCGTTGCCTTTCTGTTCAGCTTCTCATGAAATAGCAGCAGTTCAGTAGCTTTGGTGCCCACTTACTTTGTTCTCTCTGTTTGCTGCATCCTTTTCTCCAATATCTAAGGAGACTGCAAGTCCTTAAGGTAGGGACTGATTATTGCTTGATGTCATATTCCTTAAAAGAAGGGGGTCCCTGACACGGAAAGCATAAACAGGTGCTGGGAACAGAGATCCTTATAGCAGCCATTGTGCTTAGCTTGCTAGGCTGCAATAAAAGCCGACTGCTGTTGCTGCAGCTTCATCCATCTTACAGCCATGCACAGGTTCATGTCCAGAACGTTTGCCAGAAGCTGCCCACGCCGTCCTGAGCATGGTTCATGGATTAGTTTGCACACAGCGTTAAGGTGTCATAAGAATTCAGGCTGCCTTTAGGAGTTTAGACTCTGCGTATCAAAGAAGACACGTCACCAGCTACCTTCCCCTGATTCTTCCACCCTTCCACAGTATAAACCCGTGGCTGAAAGAAGTGTGCAGTCATGTCGGCGTTGCTTGGATCTTAGCACACTTGAATTCAACTTCCAACGCCGCTCAGAGCACCTAAACTGGATTTCACTGCCTGGTAGCACAAGGTTGAGGCACTCACGAGGCTCCCCACTCTCCCTTGCTTCTGCAACAACTGCTGCACCCCGGGCAGGAGCAGAACATCACCTCGGTCTTGAGACCTGTCCTCAGGCTGCATGCAAGAGGCAAATATTTTAACACTGCATCTGCTGTCAGCACTCAGCAGGTTAGTCCTGATAAGCTGCTCTGCACCTTGTGGCAGCCCTGGCAGCAACATCAAGCTATTGCAAAATGTGTCCGTGGTGGCGTGGAAGCATTTTACACCTCCTGTATCTGCATAACGGAGCCTACGAGGTGCAGAGAAATGGCAAACGGGGCCTAGCATATCAAAATCTCCTTCCACCTACCCTTAGGTGGGACCCACCAAACATCTTAAAAAATCAGCTTGAAGGAATTTATTATTTTGTGCATCTCCTCCCCCGCTCCAAGGCTTTACCCATCTTTATTTTAACAGACTGCAATGGGAAATCCCTTAATCCCATGCCTGAAAGAGGCAAAGCTGGCATTTTAAAATCACACGCAGCCCAGAGACAACTGACTGGCCTAATCTTCTTACCCTCCTCCAGGACTCAACAGCCAGTCTGCACGCTGGGGCAGAAATCAGACTTGGGACCAGCATTTGGTTAAGAGCCAAGGCCAACCAATATGATGATCTCAGATGAGCAAGGGGGCCCTGAACTCTGCATTCAATCGTACGCTGAAACTCAAAGTCTCTGTGTAGGGAGGACACCAAAGTTATCCCTCTCCAATACAAAACACTCCAAGAGTGTCTTTGTCGGCAATTTCCTTTTACTTTCCCAGCATACTCTGACTGTAACCTGATATATAGTGGTAACTGGGAGACAACACAGCACAGTGATCACAGCTGTGGGGCAAACGCCACTTTTCTGATACTTGGGTAAGCTGTCTAACTTGGACCGCATTTTATGCAGATAGCCCCCTCACTACAAACCGTCTTCTCAGTGGGGTGGCACTGATGTCACTGCGAGACTTGGCTTGGGGTGCAGTCATTTTCTACTATTGGGAAACGTGTATGAATGAAAGCTGGGGATGCTGTGGAGGAAGAGGCAGCGACACCTCATTTAGTTACCACTTGAAATATGATTTTTGCAGTGACGCTTGATATTGGCAGTGCTTTCCTCAGGGGCAAAAATAGCGCATGGCATCTGCTCTTTCCTGAACACCTTCAAGTTGGTGTAAACACATGTCAATCCATGACCCTGGAGCTAAATCCAGAGACCCCTGTTGACATCAATGGGGCTTGGCTCATTCGCACAGGGGTAGTAGCACGCTAAAGTACGTCAGGGCTCAGCCTTGGGTGACAAATCCCCGTGGAAAATGCAGTCATGAGGATAAATTTGGTGGTGTCAAAGGCTCAAGCTTAATAGCAAATTTATACATGTACCCTCCCCTCCCCTCCAATGCAACAGTGAGAATGGCACGTAACAGGGGGCCAAAATATTGGCCTCGCTGTCTTGACACACTGTACAACAGTTGGATTAATTAAGACCCTTCCACATAGATTCAGGGAGAGCGAGGTTGCAGTGTTGTGCTTATCCTCCATTGCAAACAGAGCTAAGGGAACGATAAGCTTGCTGCACAACTCTGGGAACTTCACTTCATCATTTCTCAGGGTCCAACTGTGCTTGGCACTGTGCGGACACTCAGAAAGACATGGGTCTGATCCTGCCTTAATACAACCTAAAACCATGCCTGGGCGTACTGCTGTGGATAGCCTACTGGACCCCAAGCACGAGAGCTGCCTCTGCACGGCACAGGCTTATCAGCAAAGGTGAGTGACGGTACCAACTAGCCTGCCCTTCCCCTCATGCTACCTAAAGGCGGCAGAGCGCAGATGAGGCTATATTGCTTCTAGTTGAGGAAGCATAACCAGAGCAGAGCAGCACAGATGGTTTGTGGGTGTGCTGAAGATGTGGCCTAGGTTGGTGAGACAGAGCGAAAGTGGGTGAAAGGATGTATCAGTTGGGAAAATAAAGACCTGAACTTAAGTGACTTGCACAAGGTCACAAAGGAAGTTTCTGGCAGACATGGGAAATGAACCTGTCCCCTAAATTACAGCCTAGGGCCTCAACCAGGAAGACTATCCTTCCCCTCCGTCTCATTCATGCTTTGATGTGATGCCACAGCATACTTCCACTGGGTTTAGAGGAGTCACTGCAGATTCACATCAGCATACGAAAACAGATTCAGGCTCAAAGCCTGCATTTTCAGAGCACAGCTGCCAGCGCTTGCTCCCTACCAACGTGGTCACCAGTTCCAATTTACCTTCAGATCATCTGGAATGAAGACTTTGCGGGCTTTCTTAATCATTGGCTGCGGTTTGAGCTCTTCTTCAGAGAACTTGCGTTTACGAGGGTCAAACATCTCCTGGCCAGGGATGCTGGAAAGGGCAAGATCTGCAGGGTCAGGTTCGTAGCCTACAGGAACCTGGATAGTCTCGGGGTCAATGGGGCTTGGTGTGTTACGATTTGTTGGCAAGATCTGACCTGCAAGAACAAAAGAAAGTGTTAAGGCATGCTATAAAACAAAAAGCAAATAATGTTAATGGTCACAGACCTTAGAGCATCTTTAAATCCTTAATGAACTGTTCCTTATAAAATATTTGAGTATCCCTCAGGTACTGTGGTTAAGCATGGCCTCTGATATCTTATCCCTTGCTCTTCCCAACTCTTCTTGGAAGCACGTTTGCTTACGTGTCCTTTTCAAGCAAGGTGCAAATTTAACTGGGGTTGAAACAGTACGTTGCATTTATGGCAGCACAGTAACTGGTGCAAAAGCCTTTCTGAAACACCTCGTTCTTGAAAGTTTTAGGACAGACTGTACAAATTCCAATTCTTGTGCAAATGCTACGAAAGGCGGTGCAAGTATCTGACAATATTAAAGGCTACTTAAAGGTTACCTGCGCAGCAGAAAGCGTGTATAGCTATGCCCCAATGGCAACTTTTTTCTGGCTTTTTTTTTTTTTTTTTTTAGACTTAAGAAATACCAAGTATCATCTGTCCTATTCTTGATATTTGGCAAGGACCAGGTAACTGTTTCTTTGCAGAGGTGGGAAAATGTCATAACCTTTAACAAAGAGGACTTTTCCTCTACTGTTGTTGTGGATGTGGGTTAAAGGGGTGTGAAAAATGGAATAAAACACCCTCTGCCCCAGAGTTTTAAACAGTCGGATTAAAAATCATTTCCTGTTTCCACTGTTCAGGTCTCAGTCACTTGTGACTGACGAAAATTTCCTTAATATAAACCGAATCTATGTGGTTTTGCCATATAACCTGCAGATGCAAAATCCTATGTAGATTTGATTTACTAGTGTGTGTGGTCTATATATCATTACAAAAGGTAAATGTAACATATTTCATCCTGGGCCAGACCTTGTAGTTTCAGTTCAGGCAGCATTTGCAGTTCAATCTATTTTAAAAACATCAATTAAAGTTTCTGGAAATAGGAGCCTAAAGGCAGATACAGTACCAAAATAAAGACTTAGGAGCCTAAGGGTAGGATTTTCCAAAGCACCTCAGTGACTTAGGAGTTCAAGCCCCATTGACTTTGGATTAAGGAGTCTAACTTGAGGTGTCTATTTTTGACAGTGTTTTGACTATTTTAGTACAGTCACTGGGGAGACAATGGCTTTCATAATAACTTTACAAACAGACTGCCGCTTCCATTAACACGTCCATATTTGCTGATGCATTTGCAGCAGTCACAGATCAGTACCAAAAGCCCCCGATTCTTTAAATGTCATTTCTAACTCCACATCAAGGGCATTCACAGCATATTTTCTTATGTAACGCAACGACAATATTTGGGGGAAACTGCAAAGGGCAAAACCAAGGGTTGGTCGCAGAAAACAAGAGTTTTGTAACTCCTGTTTAAAAACAGCACTGATAAAAATCGGATTTCAGGAAAGGCTAGGAAGGGCTCAAGAGAAGAATACAGGAGGATCAAAGCCTCTTTATTGAAAGAAATATCAGTTTACATGAGAAATAATTCAGTTACCAGCACTGTACCAAGAGCAAAGTGCTTCCTTGTCTGTCTCAGGATGTGGCACGCTATTGCCAAGACCACAGTGTTGAAAACTGGACGTTTCCTGTTGTGATTCATTAATAAAATCAGAAATAGTCCTCAAGCCAGTGCATGGCCAAATGGATGACAGTAACTCAGTTGCACAGCTTGCTGCGGAAGAGCCCAGCAGCAGCAGCTGCAATCGCTGTGCCAAATCATTAGAGGTCGCAAAGAGCATGCACGCTACTAGAGAGAACCTACTTGTTCCCTTCCAGAGAGCCCTGCTATTGACTTCGGGCTGCGGTGCGGGATTAATAGATTTCTTTATTTCTCATGTAGCAAGGCAAATTCAATTCAGATGCATTTGAGGAAGTGAAGCAAAATGAAGTAAAAAAAATAATAATTAAGGAATGAGGCAGAGCATACCAGACTTTGGCTTGTGTAAAAAAAAAAAGTGTCATGGAAAGGCTTGCCGTTTCCCTTGGGTGGACAGGGCACAGTTTAAAACAAGGTTGATTAAACCACGGTTGTCTCACACCTCCTTATGCCTTTAAAAGTGGAAAACCACCCAGGCTGTTAACTATTTGAAAGCCAGCCAGAAAGGCTCAGTAAAGCTAAAGGCACTTTTTGTAGCCTTATTGTAAATGGCTGGCTAATCTCATTTCAGATATATGGGTTGGGGAAGAAACAGGCTTATTTAAAGGATTAAATGCAGGGAAGTTTCCTCTGATGTCAGCACATTTGTATCTCGAAGACTAGAGCGGGCAGAAATTTTTCATCGCAGGCACAAACACAGAGATCTTGTAAATTCCTCATTAAAAATAGGAATGCACCAAAACCTGAATACTTCCATGTATTTTTTGGTGAAGGGGAGGATTCAAAAAGCATAGAGCATTTTGAAAAGGGCCTCTAGCTTTCTAATGAAACTGAACCAAGCTTTGTTTTCTAAATATTTCTACATTTTATCCAGATCAAATTTGGATACCGCTATTTATCCATCTATATGCACCCCCTATTACCCCAGTATATGAGCAGCTCTCGCCCATTTACTCTTGTAACCCAAAGCACCTTGTGAGGAAGGGCATGACTACTATCCCATTTTAGAGATGGGACATGGAGACACGGATATTACACGATTTGCACACAAGAAGTCTGCAACACAGCAAGGATTTGAATCTGGACTTCTTGAATTCAAAACTCATGCCCTAATCCCAGGACGATTTCTTCCTCTCAATTTGCAAACTAAATTATTCCAATACAAAACATGTTTTGTGTGTTTGGCCTGCATATGCTTTCAAAGGAGAGAGAGAGACACATTTCCAGCTCAGCTCAGCATTGGAAACTCATTTTGTGAATAAACATATAAAGGTCTTTGATACAAGTATGGGTCGCAATTAGGGTTGGGCAAAATTTTCCTTGTGAACTGTTTTTGATGAAAAAGGGGGTGTTTGATTTTTTTTTTTCCAAGTATCATCTCTTCCCTAGGAAAATTTATTTTTTCCATCGCGGTATTTTGGTTAAAATAAGGCTTTTATCTGACACTGTTTGGGAAGGTATTAGTCAAAAACTGGAACACTTCCATAAGGAGAAAAACCAAATTTCAGAGCAAGTCTAAAGAGTCTTCCACGCACTCCTCACAAACACGTCTTCCACGTCTACCGACTCATAAGTTTTAGTGACAAGGGCTCCAAGCCTATAATGTGCACACCGGTGAAGCAATGCCAATGCAAAATTCATTCAATGTCCAAAGCTGGTCAGTACTTCAAAGTTAAAAAAAAAAAAAAGGAAGAATACTATTACATGTATATGAATCATGTAGACGTCCAAAAGTACTGGTTTTGGAAAGGTTCATTGCTCTAATGGCCCAATTCTCAGCTTGGTTACACCAAAAGAAATTAGTAGTAATGCCACTGAGGACAGTAGTGTTAAGAAGAACTAAGAAAACCAGCATGAGAGGAAGGAAAATCAGTTATTTGTCCAGTGTTTTACATTAGGCAACTCCTGGCACTGTGTCTTTCTCTTATTCTATCAAGTATTGCCAGTAAAACTAGCCAGGAACCTGTCTTTGTTAGCTTACTGGCCAGTGGCCACTGCATCTACGTGGTGCTGGAGCTTGTAACTCAACACGTTCGTGTGGGCTGCAGCAGAGTTAGTGCAGATCTTATTCTGCAAGCGTACAGTACGTGGGCTCACGTTACACTGCCCGACACCCTCCGTTCCCCTGTTTGCATGGCACTTGGGATGTGCACCCTTCTGCAGCATTGATTGGCGCAGGGTGTTATTTTTATGCTCTAAAATGCCTCCCGATCAGGGGTAGGTCAAATGAGAACACTGTTCCAAAGGTCACGTGCCTCCCAGCGGACTAATCCTCGCATCAGCGAGCACTGCAGCTGTCACAACATCCAGCAAAGAGATGGTCAACAGACCACAGAGGCTGTGGTGTGCGAGCGGTCAGCCAAGAAGGAAGCCCATGGTACCAGCTGCCAAGGTCAGGCGGACACGAGACATCTCAGCGCTGAGCAGAAGGAGCCGGAGTTTTTTTGTTTTGTTTTTAAAGGTCTCAGCCCCGATAAATACAGCCAAATTTTCAGAACAGTGTAAAGCTTCTCAATAGGGGTCTGTAATGAAGGGTCGGATGTCTGGAAGTACTTAGTACCCTCTGTTCTCAACGGGAGGTGGTAAGCGCCCAGTTTCTTGGAAAAATGTGACCACTGCACTGAGGGATGTTGAGTGCTGAGCTCTTTTGGGAAAGACTTTGACACTGAAGAAAGAAGCAAGTTGGAAGTAAGAGTTATAGGGAATTGTAGAAACTTCTTCTCGGGCTGCCCCAGTGATGCGTCTCAGGTCCAGCTTGCAGGAGTCACACCCCGTTAGCTGGTTGTCTGAAAGCTTTCCCACTGGGGCAGCACTGCTGGGGCTCAGCGATGACCGTGTTAGTGTTTGCAGGCTTCCATGGGCTTTGCAATCAGCTTGGCAATCAGGCCACATAAGCAGGCTCCCACCTTGGCAATCAGGCCACATTAATGGGCTCCCACCTTGGCAATCAGGCCACATAAATGGGCTCCCACCTTGGCAATCAGGCCACATAAATGGGCTCCCACCTTGGCAATCAGGCCACATAAATGGGCTCCCACCTTAGCAATCAGGCCACGTAAACCTACTCACAACACATCTGTGCAACCCTAATAGCCATGGACCCCACTGGCACCTTGTCTTCGCAAACACCCTTAGTGCGATGGCAAGACGCATTAGCAATGGTGGAAACTTTTTCAGACTGGTAGACAAGGTGTAATAGTGAGGATAACTTAGCATTCATGACCCATAGAGACACTGCTGCTGTGGCTGGCAGTGGGGAAGCCTAGTGGCAATTTATCTGTACATGTTCACTGCGGAAAGGATCAAAGCTTTCAACTTGTGTCCCCTCGGTGAGTGGTTCTCCGAATTTTAGATCCTGCAGCTCTTCTCCCATCTTCTACCTAGGCCC